GGGTGGGAGTGCAACTTTTGTGGAGAACCCACTCGGTGCGAGCTCATATATCAAGGAGAATCCCTCAGTGCGCTACCTATGTCTGGACGACTCTTTTACGTGGACCTCGAATTCATCCCTCCCGATCAGCCAGTACCTCTTGTTCAAGAGGTCTCTGCATTTGCCCGCACTCCTCTGACCTATGACATCTGGCATGCTTGCATGGGTCACACAGGAGGTGAGTCAGTGCGCCGTCTTCCTCATGTCGCTCAGGGGTTCTCTCTGGACTCAAATGAAGAAATGTCCCAATGTGAATCCTGCATCATCAGCAAGCACCCACGACAACCTCATCCCACATCCGAGTCTCCACCTGCTTCTCGCTTCCTTGAGCTTATCCATTCAGACAACTGTGGCCCTCTTCCTGTTGAGACTCCTCATCACAAATGGTACTTCATCATTTTTCTCGACGATCACACAGGCATCCTCAACCTTCAACTCTTGGCCACCAAGGACCAAGCCTTGGACACCTGGCGCACCGTTCATGCATGATGGGAGACTCGCTCTGGTCTGCGGGTTGTTGCCTTTCGTTCTGATAACGGAGGCGAGTTTCTGAGTGAGGCATTCACCACCGAACTTGTGAAGGCTGGGATCGAGCATCAGCTCTCCGCACCTTACTCACACCAACAGAATGGGAAGGCTGAGCGTGTGATTCGAACTATTGAGGGTCACATGTATGCCATGCTTAATTATGCGCACCTCCTGCGTAATCTTTGGGGGGAAGCTGCCCTCACTGCAGCCTACTTGTTTAATCGCACAGAGTCACGCTCCTTGCCTGCTGGCAAGACTCCTTACGAAATGCTTCACAACGTTCAGCCAGACCTCACTCACCTCCACGTCTTTGGCGCCCGCTGCTTTGCTCGCATCCCAACCAAACTTCAAGTAAAGTTAGGTCCTAAATCACGTGAAGCTTACTTCATGGGCTACGCTCCAGATGGAAAGGCTTGGCGCTGCAGGGACAAAGAGACTGGCACGTTCTTCAATTCTTGTGACATAATTTTTGACGAGACTTTCTTGGGTCGTGCGTTCCCTACCACTGACAATGATTCCGAAGATGAGGCTGCAGCACCTCGTTCCCTTCCCATGTCCTCTGCTGCGCCTCCCTTGACTCTCCCACCCATTCCACCGGTAGAAGCTCATTGTTCTGGTCGTTCACGTTTGCCCACTGAACGTGGGCAGCTCTTCCAGGATCAGATTACGTCCAATCGCGAACATCTCGCGCATCAATGGGAGTTGCGTCAGGCGCGCATTCAGGGGGTGCCACCTGAGGGGGTGAATGCGGCGCCTGCTTCACCCAGTCACGATGTCACTAACCTAGACTCTGACTGCCATCGTTCCAGACGAGGAAGAAGTTGGATATCCCCACACACTTGCCAACTTAATCGCGACCGAATTCGCTTGCATTACCATTCAGCAGTGATGCTCGATGGAATCCTCTCACCTCAGGTTACAACATGGGAATCCCACCCGCTACATTCGATGAGGCGATGCAGCGCTCTGACCGTGATCATTGGCTGGCAGCGATGCAAAAGGAGATCAATTTAATGTCGGAAATGAAGGTTTATGAGTTGGTAGAGTTACCGGAAGGAAGGAGGGCAATAGGTTGCAGATGGGTACTGGAGTTCAAAGAGGATGAAAAGGGGGGGTCTGTGCATAAGGCACATCTTGTAGCGCAAGGCTTCTCACAGGTACCAGGGATCGACTTCGGCAAAACCTTTGCTCCTGTAGCAAGACCATCATCCATTTGCCTTCTCTCAGCTTACGCTGCCACCAATGACTGGGAACTCGACAGTTTCGATGCGAGACGGGCCTTTCTGTGGAGGAAGTTGCGTGAGGACATCTACATGCGTCAACCGCCAGGTTTCGAGCGTCTGGGCCAAGACGGAAGGAGTTTGGTGTGTCATCTGCTGTCCTCACTCTACGGGCTGAAGCAAGCCGCATACAACTGGTACGAACTGTTGCGCACAGTCCTCGTTCACCTGGGATTCACTCATTGTGAGGCTGACTACACTGTCTTCATTTATCATCACGTCACCAATGAGGGGGTGCATGTGATCTGCATCATCACATGGCATGTTGATGACGGCCTAGCAGGCAGCAACAGCCGAAAGTTCCTTGACTGGGTCAAGGGTCGCATCACTAAATGTTTTGGAATCACAGACCTGGGTCCAGTCACCAAACATTTGGGCGTCCAATACGTCTGTTCCCATGTCACTCACGAGCTCTGGATGCACCAGCAGGATTATATAGTGTACCTTCTCAAAGAGCACGGCCTCCGTGAGTGCAACCCAGTTTCTCTTCCGATGGATCCATCTTTCCCCTTCGGACATGACACAGACATGCACCCAGACATCAGCAACCTCAAAACAGAATATCGCAAGCTCATCGGGGAGCTTCTTTACCTCGCAATGTACACACATCCCGATGTTGCTCTTGCCATCATGAAACTCTCCCAGCACAATGCCAATCCTGAACCTCATCACTACGCTGCAGCAAAGCGTGTTCTTCGCTACCTTGCTGGCACACTCTCTTACCATGTGCACTATGGAGGCCCGAATGCTGCTACCACCGTCCACGGGTTCAGTGACGCTGACTGGGCCACATCTCCAGAAGACCGCATATCCATCACCGGCTATGTCTGGTACTTCTATGGTGGTCCCATCTTGCATGTGTCGAAGAAGCAAACAACTCAGGTGTTGTCGTCAGTAGAATCAGAGTACATGGCACTAACGGGCGCCATTCAGGATGGACTATGGATCAAGTCCTTCTGTGCATGCGTAAAGATTACACTTACCCTCCCTCTCAACCTCTATGCCAACAACACCGGTGCCATCGCATTGTCCGAAGAGGCCGCCAATCACACTTGTATGAAACACATCGACTTGCAGTATCATTTCATCAGAGGTCACATCGAGGCCGGCACTTTCTTACCCATATGGGTATCCACTCATCGCAATAGCGCCAACATATTCACCAAGGCTCTTCCGCGTCGCACGTTTGCCACCCATCGTGCCAGATTATCACTTGTGGCGGGTTGAGGGGGTGTGTTGGAAAACCGGTCCGGAGTACCATGCGGTATGTTGGAGAATCGTTCTTGGAAGAATCCAACTTGGGATATTGGTGCCCATTGGGGCAGATTAACATAGTCATTTGGACGTTCGGCACAACCTCACCACTTTGTATTCAATCTCCGTTATTTTGTTTCAACATAAGTACTTTGCTCTGTCATCGTTTGGATACCTCAGTCATTGATTCACAACACTGAGGTATGCGTCTCTGTTTTTCTTGCACGTAGCTTGTACTAATATTTGGCTACCTTAGCATACTTCCAACAGGTAGATTAGAATCAATACAGTCGTTGATTCACAACACTGAGCGTACTTCCAACATATTTAGCACTGATCCTGAATTTATGGCTGTCTGGCTGAACGATGCTATTGATTGACCATCTCTATTGGTTCCACCATCTGTCCATGGTCCATTTCAAATGGAATGTGCTCGTGCTTTGAATATATTATCCGCAGTCCTCAAAATCTGTGGCTCACCAGGTTTGACAGCTCGCACTTGTGTTCTCCTGCTCGCATGTCTTCTTGCTGTTCCGGTCTCGCTGGGAGGCTCGCATTGAGTCCCGCTTGCCCTAAACTCATTCAAGCACCCGTCATCAGTGCAAGAATTTATATGCGTTTGGGGGTTCAAACACGTTCTGAACTTGAACCAAACACTTGTGAATGTGTTCGCAAGGGTCTGGTCCAGTGTTTGCCCTCCTTGCCTGAACTGGACCCAAGGTTCAGTTTGAGGTTTGACAAAACACCCTCAAGAACTGAACTGAACCGGACTGCGGCAGCACTAAATATAGCACATACCTAAATGTTCTTGCTTCCTCCAGGATGCTCGTGCAGCGCCTCCCAGGACCCTCTGGATAACCCGTGATCATCCACAACATCATGTCTCGCCTCATTGAACATCTACGTAGGGTCCATAGCACGCCTGCGATGCAGACCCTCTGCACTGTGACTGACTTGGACAATCCCAACATTATTTTCACACACTAAGTCCTTTTTTGATCTTCAAGTTATCTTCTAACTACCGTCAATGTGTCATGGTGCCTGCTATGCTCTACATGTGACATCCAACCAATGTCTGCGGGTTCCGACATCACTTTGTAAGTCCTAGAACTGCACATGCCCGACAGTTTGGGTTCGGGTACTGTATGTGTGTCTATCAAATCTTCTTTCCATTTTTGCTAATTGATATCTCCATCAATCACATTGAGTCTCAAGCCACTTCGGATCATGTGTGTCATTGATATGCTGTTCTGCCAGCCACCTATTGACACTCCATGCAGTCTACTGCCTTTCTCGTCTTAGAGACCTTCTCAAACTCATATGTCATCCTTTCAAACCTATTCAATGACCATCAATCCCACCTGGAAGAAGTGCTGGGGGTTGAAGCTGAAGCTGCATTGTTCAGAACATCATTCGACAGAGGAGATGGACCCTAGTGAAAGTGAGGTATTGAACATCACACTTATATATCTAGTGGTCGGCTCTAGGGAACTGCACGGATATACCCCGGGTGTGCGCAGTTGGACCCATACCCATACCCGAAGATATACCCATTGAAGGTTCAATGATACAGCGAGGCATGAACAATGCTCCTGACTGTATCTATAAATGTTGTAAGGTCGCGCGTTGCCTAGTCTGCTATACTTGAGATGACAAGTGCATTCGACCCTAAAGGGGAAGCGAGTGCAGCAAGGATCTAGTAGTAGGCACCGAAGGCGCTACTGGTTGGCGAATGCGAAGCGCAGGAAAGTGCGAGGCACGGGAATGCACGCGCATGTATGCGGAAACAAGAGAGAGTAAGAGTGAGTTTGCTTAAGTGATGATTAGACACTAGACAAGAGGTGAGAGATGCAAGCTGAGAGATGTTATATGTGAGGTGCCAAGGAATAGATTTCAACTATGCTCTGCTGGGTAGTAAATGGGTATTGTTCTGGTTCAGTCCTCTGTCATTTTGGTGGGTGAGTAAGTTGGTAATAGTACGTACTGCTGGCGCTTAAGTATGGCGCCTAAGCGCTGTCATGCGGAGCCGAAGCACTACCGAGTAAGGTATGTAAAGATATATGTAAGTAAGGGTCCATGATAAAAATAAAGATGGAACAATATGCAAATGTGAGAAATGGAAATATACGCACTAGGGAACTTGGTGGACAGTGGATGGATGCTTCTGGATGGCTGGCGCTATAGGGCGCTCAAGCGTGGGAAAGCGCGCGCGCATATACATCGTGAAGCGCGGGAAGTTGCGCGCACATTGTGCGATGCGCGGGAAAGCTGCGCCTCATGTAGGAATAGCTGTAGGAAGCATACAGAGTGATGCTACAAGTTTGTGCTGTATACTCCTTGGTGAAAACTGCAATATTGCACAAGGAGAGGCATGAGTCTCTACACCGTACCTGCAGTGCAGATATGGGTATGTGTACAGGTTTTCCTTCCGGGTATCAACAACCCTGTGAGGGTAAACCTGCGGGTCAGCCGCCAGTGCTTAGCACATATGTCCAGCACACGTCAGTGAATGCTGATGTGACTCAAACATATGTGGATGGCACAGGTGTCAAGAAGGAGGAGTGGATGTTGGGATCCAACGAATCCAAAGGAGAGACCGCTGAAGGGACAAGAGCCGAGGGAGAGACACAGCAACTGGCCAAAGGATAGAGCCAGAGGAGAGGACATCGAGTGCGAGTACATCCAAACAGAGAATGGGAACGACGTGTCATGGTTGGCTCGTGTGCTGTCCATCTTTTAGTTTATTTTACTGTATATGACTGTACCTGTCAAGTGAGCTGCATGCATGATGTTGGAAAAAAAAACACACACCTTGTCCAACAAACATATTAGTCCCCCATCCAGAGTTGAGTCTACATGCGCAAGCAGCGCAACGTATGGAATGAGTGGTGGCATTGGATGATGAGCGACAATGAGTCAATACAAGTGCAAACAAGTGCAAATGGGTCAACACCAGTGTGAATGAGTTGAAACAAGCACAAACAAGTTGAAATGAATGCAGACAAGTGCAAATGAGTTGAGACAAGCAATTGAAACAAGTGAGAATGAGTATGAGTGAATGTGGAGTGGACAAGCAGATACAAGTGTGTACAAACAATGCTGATGTTGAGAGTGACCAAAATGTGCTAAAGCACATGAAAACCTGGCACACAGGTATGGGTAGGGGTGCAGGTATCATAATATCCGACCTGTACCCATACCACACACATACCCGTACCCCACACCTGCACGGGTATACCTGTACCCATGCAGTTCCCTAGTCGGCTCCACTCCAAGTGCTCGACAGCCCCAAAGCCCTGAACCCGCACCTGCAAGTTCCAGTGCACATGAACTCTCACCTGCTCAAAAAACCCAGGTATGTGCACCTCTTGGTGTGTTCCATGTGTGATCTAACTGCTGCAGGATCCTCCACCACCCACCGTTCTCACTCCCGAACTAAATCTTGGCCAGTCTTTCAACTCAGGCACTGCAAAGGTAAGTTGTATTATTCTAGTTCAAAACATTCTTATCTCTACTGGATAATATACTAAGTTCTGTCATCAGTCTGAAGCACTTGACCTGAAGCTTGTCAAGGCAGCCTTACTTGTGGATGCAACAAGCGAAGGTGGCATTGTGAATCTTTACTTGGGTGTCAGAGGTGTGCTTGCTTCCACATCCTTATGCTCCACAAGCTAATCAGAATGTGACAGATGATTCTAATTTTTCAATCAGAAAGACCACTGTCTTACTAGGATGTGATTGGCAATAAAATCACCAGTTCTCACTATCCTCCATGGTCAATGGTTCAGACAAATACAAACGGTTGATAACGTGGTCGTTCGTGGGAGGAGGCATAAATAGCTGGGTCAATCTAAACAACTTCTAATGACTTTAGGTGGTTTGAGACAGTGACCGTTAACTGGCTTGATGCAGTGCTTAGAACGCTAAAGATAAGGATCGTAAATGGTGTAGCCGAATCAATAACTGGCTTGATGCAGTACTACGATGCTACTAGAAGAGGATTGCAAAGGTGTGCAATATGAAGATGAATATATGGATCACAACAGTACACAACGAATCAGAGTAATATCTTGTAAAACGCTCCCTATTCTCAAAAATTAGAGGAGATCAAACTAAGCCTCTAACACAATCGAATCAACCAAAATACGTGGCTTCGAACCTAACTTCTCTGCTGCTCAGGCACTCATGATGAGTATGACACAGAATCAGAACAGAGTACACCCTCTTGATGTAGTCTTAAAGCAGCCAAGCTCTTAATATTGTTGAATAAAGTGCTAGTCTTATTTGTCGTCCTCCTAATTGTTAAAGATACGTAAATTCTCCCCACAGAAAAGGTATCCTGTGTTTGTAAAGAGAATGTGATGAAACTACAACTAGATGACTGATAACCGTGTACCAGCTAGTGTAATTCAAGGATTGGCTCAAGGTAGGCCTCAGAAGATCAGTATGTTGTGGGAAATGATGGCAAAAGAATGGAGGGAATAAATTAATATTCACTCAGATGTTCACACAAATGTAGGGTGAGAAATTCAGGAAGATACTCAAATCCTCCTCCCTCTCTCTAAAAGGGGGATGTCTGTCCTCTCAAAGGAAGCTTATTTCAAAAGGGAGATTGTCATTATTCAGAGGGGAAACTGGGCCCCTTATATACTACTCTAAATGTGGCTGTATAACTATTTAATTAAGGGAATATGACTCATCCTGACTCATACTGAGTCATATTAAAGATGACTCATAGTGACTCAGATGGAAAAATGACTCATAATGACTCATACTGAGTCATAGTTGAAATGTCCCATGATGACTTGTTCACTTCTCAAATATTCCCATCTATTAATTTTCTCCCTTCAGTTTCCTGACTAATCCATCTCATCTTACTAATCCATTTCATCTGACTAAGCCATTGATCACACATGAACTGTTGACATGTTGGAATGCTACCATAAATATGTTTCAGAACATACAGAAAAAATGTGAAGAATTGTAAAAAAACAATCATAAGATTGTGAGAGAATGCTGAATAATGTGTTGTGGTATGTTTGGAACTTATCTTTAAATTGGATAAGTGTTAATTGAATTATTATGTAGTATTATGGGTTTGTTATGTCTGAAAATTACTCAAATCAAATCATAATGTGTTATAGAAAATTCTTAGTAATTTCGTAAAGTATAGTAGAGAACGTCAAAGCTCAAAAGTAGCCATGACCATGCACAAAACAAGTTTGGTGCATGTCACCGCGATGTCTCTGTTTCCAGTCTGCTGTCGAAGGTCTTGCAAGTCTATACTTTCATGAGGGAAGGGAAGGAATTGGCCAAGATTAAATCCATGATAGTGATATACGGAAAAATAGTGCAACAGACACTGGAGTGCACTGACCGCTGACGTTATTTGAATTCTACACAATATGAGAACCAAGAGGGACACGATGGTTGTCGACGCTGAAGGCTCGAAGGTGTCACAGCTGGTGTGTTGTCTCCTTCTCCTCTTGTGGATAACTCCCACAGCACCCAAGTGCCTCCAAAATTGCTGAACTGATTCAACTGAACACAGCATCCAGTTCAGCATCCAAACTTTGCCGATTCACTCACTTGCTGCTCTCACTCACTAACTCGAACCCAATGCAATGTTTATGGTATCACTAGACTCAAGAGACAGCGGGGATCTAGGATCTCGAACTGTTGCTGTCAAAGCATCTATTCCAAACATCAAACAAATTCCCTCCTACCACAAATGAGAAAACTTATTTGACGAGCAGCAAGTGCTCTTCAAATGTCACCTTCAACTCATGCGACCACTTCCAAGTTACAACTCCTCCAACACCTCCACTAATGCTTGTTACTGACCTGACATTCCAGTGCTGATGATAATGCTACATCTACCCATGGATCAAATGTCCAATCATGCCAGGACCACGCCAACAAATGGGCAAGACCACGAGTGCAAAGATATGGTACATACATCGAAGAACACCACTCCTGCGCCAATGAAAAGCTGTGAGGCCTTGTTTTATCTTTCAATAGCTCAATATTTCAGCGAGTTGCTTGAGATGACATGTCAAGCAGTAGTGTTCTCTCTTATTAAATGTCTTGCATCTCCTTCATCATGCCTGTAGTATTGTACTATGTCTCTGTTGATACATTCGCAATATGACATGTCTTGTCACATGACCCTACATACCTCCGAATTCTCTAACTTGAAGCTTACTATCATTCAGCTTGTCTCATTGCCCTTGTTCTAACATCTACACATCTCCGAGATGGACCCTATGGAAAGCGAACAACTAGCCCCACTCAATTCCATTTTATTTTTCCTTCCACACAAGTAGCATCCATCGTCAGAATTATGACCCTAGCAAGATCCAACTATACACACTTATGAATATCAAGAGTGCACTTTGTTCCTGCTCTATCCCCTCTATCATTGTCCTGAATGTTTCATTATAGCTGGTGGATGTTCTGAGCACTGTAAGGAGCCTATTGTACTACTGAATAATGATACTGACTTGTTCACTCAGCTTGTACTGTTCTCAGTCATCCAGATATTCCACTCTGACAAAGGCTTCATGTTTGCTGATACCGAACCTGTCATTGAAGCAGCACAAAAAATCAAAGAGAATGGAAGCACAAGGTTTTGCATGGGTGTGGCATGGAGGAACCTTGCAGAACGCAAGAGAGGGTTTGAAAGAATTCTTCAAATGGTTCGAGAGGTCCGGGGTATGGGGATGGAAATCTGCATGATTCTTGGTATGTTCACTCCAGAGCAAGCAAAACAGTTGAAAGAGGCGTACATATTTTCTATCTCTCAGGTTCAACTGAGTTCACATCTGTTTGGACGGGTGGCTTCACTGCATATACAATTATAATCTTGATACATTACATGAATTTTATCCGCAGGTTTGCTATATGTTATGTTTTGGAGTTGCTGCCTACATCTTTTTCAGGTCATCACAATGCAGTCATACGACAATACCACAAATCGAGCATGCTTCTTGCAGACTATCACCATCAGAACAGCCCGCGATGCATACATAGATGGAGACTTATTTACTGATGAAGAACTACCCACAGAAGATATTACCACTGATGCAAATAACCATACTTCCTATGCCCATTGCTCAAAGGCATGTTTCTGTCTTTGACTCATATCACAATTCAAGCATGTTTTGTGCAGATCCTAGCCATCATGACTGCCTGTATTGCAAGTGTAAATGGAGACTTATCTACCACTGTAGCACTTGGATTGGCATTGGGAACATATCCTGCCAATCTCATAGTTCTGTGCATCCATCCAAGTCATCCAACAGTCGTCCGTCCTCTTCTGAGGCCTGTATACACTTCTGATCCTCTGTACCATGTCCCAACCATGTCTGTTTGACTTCACTGGTGTGTTTTCACTTTGTTCATTGTTATTGATTATGTCTTAGGGGCACATATGTCGTCGGCCCATTGGAAAGCTTGATTAATATGTATAGCTGCGCGCCTTGTGCGCTATTACATGCATATCTTTGTAGTGACTTGCCTCAAGTCTTATTACATTTCGGATAGCTTATCTCGCTACTATTCTCGCCTACGTAGTTTCCGGACCTTCACACTGTAGGATATTATCTGCCTTGCTAGCTACTTACACTTCACTTCACTTTCCCTGCTATGAGTCATAGTTAGTAGTGTCACTTTTGGATAGTTGCACTTTGCTCAATCGATCTTTTGTTTATTCGGAACAATTGTTTGGCCTGACCGCTGCCATTTTGCACTTCGCTATCTCTAAGTTCTTCTGATAGACTTTGCTTAGTCATACTTTGCAAGTCTTATACTATGACATATCCGCCATATTTCTCTCTCAGAACCTTTGCTGTTCACCGGAAGCTCTTTGGACGCTTCGCACAACCTCAGACCTTTGTTTCTTGACATCGGACCACCTTCGGACCACATCAGATGAGTACTTTGGTACTTTGGACATATCCTCAGAACATTGAATGCACTTGGGTGACCTTTCTGTTCTTTCTACTTCGATCTTAACTAGACATCCCTTGCATTTTATATCAAGGAGTAGTTCTATAGGCAGTCTCTTTTGGACAAGCATTACACTCGCATATTGAGTTCTGAAGGTAACACTTTTTGTAGCGCTGTAGCACTCAAGCTAGCGCTGAGCACATATTCAGTGAATTCCTGATGCATGTTCAATGCCTGTTGCACACTAATCACAACCTGACACTAACCCGCTCAACCCAATGCAAACCCGACACTTTGACTAGCAGACCCGACGTTTTGGCCGCATTGGCCGACCTGAAATCCTGTGCACTTGTCCTATCCATGTCCCATTATGTCTTGCTAGCCCCACTAGGTGTGTAGTTGATTATTTCGCACATTACTCATGTTGTAGCATGTGCTATTACATGTTTTCCCATCATCCGCAGTACCTTGTGTTTGTTTACATGTACTTTGGGTCTGAAATATTTGGCTGCTACTTTAGCCTACGGGTTTCCAGATTTCTATGTACTTACATATATATTAAACTGACCTTGAGTATTTTTTATCATCCAAGTAGTAGGGAGCCATTTCCCAGTACTTAGTGGTCAAACCCAATATTTTGTAGTTCTTAGTTGATGTTACACACTCAAATAGATCTGTTATGCAGAGCCCTAAGAGGGGCGTCGTCCGCTAATGTTTGTGATGTAACCGGAAGGATCTGGTGTAGCGAGTGAGACTGGTGACATTGAGTTGGCAGCAGTCA